TTAACAGAGACAGGTTATCACCATGTTGGCCAGGCTCGTCTCGAACTCCTGACCTCAAGTGATCCGCCTGCCTCAGCCTCCCAAAGTGTTGGGATTACAGGCATGAGTCACCACTCCTGGTTGAAAATAAGTATTTTAAATTAAATATTAGAGCAGGAAAGGTGAGGTTGGCCACCAAGAATAATTTCTGATGGTGAATGCTGTAGGTGCCACATCCTAGACCACCTCCTTCTCTTCTGATTCTTAGAAATTGTCCAGCTTAACCTTGGGACTGTGTCCCCAGGAGCAGCTGAGAACATCATCCCAGGAATCAGGCAGGCCTGGTCTTGAGTTTATGCTCTGCCTTTCACCAGCTACATAACCCAGGGCATTTATTTTGATCTCCCTTAGCCTTAGTCTTCCCATCTATAAGTGGAATAACAACTGCCCCAGGAGACTGTGATGTTAATATGAAATCACTCCTTAAACTGGCACCAGGTAGCACAGTGTTTGGTATACTCCCAAAACTGGGTTTACAACCCACATGAACACAAAGGCAAATCTTTCCCTAAAAAGAGAAGAAAAAATGTTATTTTAAAATCAAGTAAGTCTAGCCAAAAATGTTTTCTATATGCCCCTGTGTGCATCTTATATATATTTATAAACATACTAATCCATGTCTACATATATGTGCAGTATGCACAAATATACTTCTAAGTTTTTAACATATAATACATTTGTAAAGGTGCAGCCCTCACTATAAAACAGGGACAATAATAGTATATACTTCACAGGCTGATGTGAGAATTAAATGAGTTACTAATATATAAAGCATTTAAAACAGTGCCTGGGATAGAGCAAGTGTTATATCCCTAAGAGGTGTTTTATTATCATTATTATTATCAATGCAGAATAAGTAAACCAAACTATTTTGAGATGTTCACTGTGACAGGCTATCTACCAAGTGCTAGGGAGTCACAGGTGAACAAGACAGGTTCGGGCCCTACCCACATGAAGTTTCCTGCCCTGTAAAAGGGCTAAACATTACACAAAGAAAAACAAAACTACCAAAAGTACAAACTGTAGTAAAGACAATGAAGGAAAGAGCCTTAGTAACCTGAGAGAGATGTGTTTTCAACAGGGGTGATATATTTGTACCTGTCAGCCACATACTGGTCCTCTTCACCACAGATAGTAACCACATCATTTATAAGATGGACTGGTAGGATAAAGGATACAATCTATGGCCAAAGAGTACCTGCCCACGTGGGACTCAAACCACAGCCTTATATTACCAGTACCATGTTCCTAACGGATAACCCGAGACTCTATTCATAAAATACTCAATACTCCTTCAACTCACCTCTCAAACTATGTCCCTGATAAACATTTATTCATGCACGTACTCATGAATTTAACAAATGTACACGTATTAACCATAGGTATTATGCATATGTAAGACACAGGTTATTGTAGTCTATATCTACAGGACCTTATAATACTGCAGAGTAGCTAGCAGCCACTTACCAACAATCTCCAAACAACCCACTATTCAAATGTGAAATTATATATTCATTTAATATCGACTTACAAGTAAAGTTAATAAGCTGTAAGTACCATATTTCATCAAATATAAAATATCATTGATTTTTTAAGAAGTACTATTAATTACTGATAACAAAGAAAAAATGAGGTGGGCGAATCACCTGAGGTTGGGAGTTCGAGACCAGCCTGACCAACATGGAGAACCGCATCTCTACTAAAATTTAAAATTAGGCAGGCATGGTGGCACATGCCTGTAATCCCAGCTACTCAGGAGGCTGAAGCAGGAGAATCGCTTGAACCTGGAAGGTGGAGGTTGCGGTGAGCTGAGATCGCGCCATTGTACTACAGCCTGCCCAACAAGAGCAAAACTCTGTCTCAAAAAAAAAAAACCAAGATATCAATAAGAAGACACATCCTAATGTAAGAAATGTTATAATGTAAAAAATGTGGGTCTATGGCATGGCAGTCCCTTGATGAAATTGTTGCCCTGTACTTCAGAGAAATTGTTTTTAACATTCCCAATTATGTTTCTATGAAAAAACAAATTTGATGTCAGAAAATCAAATCTCATGGCTACATTGGTACATCTGAATCAAGGCTATTTTGTATTTCTGAAATAAAGATTTGATTCTTAGATGCAATGGCAACAGATACTAGTATTCAAAACATCACTGCTGAGGATCTCCTTTTCCAAAGTACACTTTAAATGCACCTCTGATTCTAAAAACAAGCCTACACACTTAGCAAACATGGGGAAAAGGAAGGCAGCACCTTTGAACAGGATAGTCACCTTCTCAACACACCACTGAGACTGCCAAAAAAAATCAGAGCTTCGAAAAAAGCAGCTGAAAATATCACATGGTATATGCTGATGGAATGGATACTGCAAAGACAGACGACCTGGGTGCTAGGGCCCCTTCTGATACTGGCTGGAAACTTTCTGGATTTCCTCATCTGCCATACAAAGGTATGGGACCAGTAGGGTTTTAAGGTTTACTTTCTGGCATTAAAATATCATAATTCTGAGGTTCAAAAATACTAGCTCTTATTCCCTATTTATTCTAAAAGACTCAAGTTACAGAAACTACTGACCAGTTTTAAAAAGACTTTTAAACTTCACTTCACTATTTCAGCTTCAAGGGTGCTTACGAAATCCTTAACTTCCTCATGGAAGAAACCTTTCTCATTTTTTCATTGTATTTTCTCTCTCCACTTCAACTGGATCCTTTTCCTTTTTCCATAAGCTACAAAACAGATTTTGTTTCTTTCCTTCCAACAGGGCTCTGGAAGGCCTCTAGCAGTGCTCTTCTGAGTTTCTTTGCTGCTGCTAACTCTAATCAATATTTCAACACTATGACCTTCAGCGAGTAATGTACCATAAGTTGAAACGTAACAGAGGGAACAAAATTCCCTAACAGCTGTAGCTCTATTAGCTTCACAGCATAAATAATTTATGGCCCCTTTAAAAAAAGTTTGCAAGGTGATGTTGTGGCTGCTATTTTTCTCGTGGAAGTGAAAATGGGCTCAGAAATGCAGCATGGGAAAGAGGAATTAAGAGGTTTGTGAATTTAGAGGTATTTATACATTAAACATTGTTGTCTGTTACCCCTCTAAATATAGAATATACCTTGGTTTAGATTTCAGACCCTTAATAACAAGTTAATCACATGACTTGGATAATTCAAGCCCACTCCAGTAACAAAACTAAACCAGATGGTCACTTTAAGACCAAATGGTTCTAGGAGTCTAGGAAGAACGAACTTCCAGTTCTATGGGAAGAGGATTGAGAGTACTGCTAAATATGGAGTAACGAACTAGATCTTTTAGACACTTCCTTTTCTTCTCTAGATTCTTCTACGCAGCAGACCTACCTGAAGCTAGGATCTTTCAGAACCTCAGACTAGCAAGACCACAGAAGAGACAGACACAGGTGGGCAACTTCTTCCTGGGGTTTCCCACCACAGTGGCTGTGCTGCACATCTGGTCTTCTACACTTGTAACCTAGTCTCTATTCAAATTAAGCTGGTTTAAAACCATATCCAATATACTTCATTCTTGGTGCTCAAATCCTACTGACCTGAGTGATTACTGGGTATAATGAATCCTTTTTGACCTTCTGCTCACAACACCCTCAACTGTCCTTTAAATTACACAATAAGAATCTCCAGAAAGCTTTACCAAACAAACCAACTATTTCATATTTGCTAAAGTTATCTAGCCAGACCTTTGTCCTCAAGTGATTGGCAACTAAGTGTTGGCTATTGAGTTCACACTCATCTATGTACACTTTTAGAATGTAATCTTCTCAAGAAAGGAATTAAGTCTTATACAATATTCAGCACAAGCAGCAGAATAGCAAAGCCGAAGAAGAAAACTGTTTACTACATACGAGATACTTTATATAAATTGCTTCACTTATTCTGCAGTGAACCCAGATCATCCTGCACATTATCATTTCTAAGATTCATATTTTTTAACTTTTTTAAAAAACAAGGTATGTGTGACAACCACTGGTGTGTCACAATTTTAATAAGCAATCGTTTTTCATTGTTAGTGGTAAACAAAATAATGGTCCACTTTACAGGTGATGGTGCGTCAGAGTCATTAAAATATGTTAATATTTTCATCTGATTGGAAACATCAGTTGAAAAACAGATTAAGAGAGTGTCCAGGGTTATTACATAGACTGAACAGGGACTAGCCAGACTTCAAACCAAGATGTGGCTGATTCCAAAGTTTCTTTCTACTATGACCTACCTGACAAGCACAGAGACTTTGAATATAGCAAGAATTTTCCATAGTCAGCATGTCTCAAAGACTAGCAACCTTGGGTGCTAAGTTTTCGGGAACTGATGTGTTCACAAACCGCCTGGTGGAGACACCACAAATATGCTGGTTTAGGTCCCAGCAACCAAAAGATTCTAGGGGTCTATGCGGCCATTTCGACTCACTCTGTGTACACAAACTATCTTTCCCCTGACGTTACAATCCTGCGGAGGGGGAATTCGAGGCGTAGAACCTTTCCGAAGTAGGGACACCCTCATTCCCCAACTTCCTACTGAGACTCTTCCCCTATCTCTCAACCCAGACACTTAGCCTCCCCACCAAGTTCACCCTGGACCTCTTCACCCCCAACTCCAAATAAGGCCAGTCTAGACGCCACCCCCACCCTGCCCCTCGTCACCGCGGGGCCGACAGCAAGCTTCTAAATTTGCAGGGCTCCCAGACCCGAATCCTAGCTCAGCCACCCAATATCTCCATCTGCCAGCGGCCTAAGTCATGCCCCGCTCCTGTCGTATCCAGAAAAGCTCCTTCCTCCGTAGAAGGCCCCCACTCCAAGCCTGAATTCCAGCGGCTGCCAGGCCCCCGCCGACGTCCAGCCCTGGAGGACCCAGCGCGGCCTGGGCCAGGACATTGGGTCCGGCAGGGCCAAGAACCCGCGAACGCCAGGAAGACAGAGTCCTAATTGGACTCACGGAGGAAGCTGCGCGACAGGAGGCGGGCGGCGGCCAAGCCGCTGCTGCCGGAGACCATGGTCGCGATGTCAACGGCGGCGGCAAGAATTGCGGTCATCCGCCAATGACACTCCCAGGCCCCCGGGGACCTAACAGGGGCAAAGGCCGGAGGAGGCGGAGGGTGGCTACAGTAGTCGCCTGAACAAATTTCCCACTGCGGAGGATTCTTCATGAAACAGCGGGGGTGGCAGGTGAAGATAAAAAGATAGCCTATCAGAGAATGAGATAATAATTCGGCTCCTTCCTAGAAACTTGGGTTTAATTAACGTTAATTATAACAGCAGCCGAGGGGAAACCCCCACGCGAGACTGGCCGGCGAGTGGCATTGTGGGCAATGTAGTCTGACGGCCGCGGCTCGTTCGTAGCTTTTGAGGGAGGCTGCGGGAAGTCAGCGAGAGAGCGGCAGTGACACCAGGGAGACTAGGGACTTGAAGACAAGGAAGGAAGAAGCAGCGAGGTGAGGTGCGAAGAGCAGTGCCAGAACTTTGTTTCCTAGGCCCATTTCCTGCCCCTTCGCTTTCCTCATTTGCTGTTAGAATAATACTGCTCACTGCGTACCTTGTGCCTGGACCCAGAAGGGTTGCCGGGAGACGGGAATCTAACTGGCTGGCACGCGTGGCCCGTGATGAGAAAGATCAAAAGTTATATTTATGACAGTTCGTTTCTTGGAATGTGGATTTTTAGTTAAGTAATCATACAGTCTTTGACTAGCACTAAGTGCATGAGTTTATTCCCTGAAGTTCCTAAGGGCTGAAATTCGAGGTCAAATGTTACTTTGCTCTTTTTTTTGGACAAACCGTTCCCTCCTTGTGTAACAGCTGTAGAAGGAGCCTCAGAGAGCCCCAAAGTCAAAAGGTAAACAAGAGGTGAAGCAGTCTGCGTCTCTGCTGAAAACTGTGCTCCTGAGATTTCTCATCAGAATTGTCAATAAAATTGTAATCCTAATTTATTTAGGTAGTCATCATAACTTGCACTGAGCTGTCAGATGGATGAGTGGGATTACTCAAGGAGATTGCCCAATACTTTATGATCCAAATATTGTCATTCTCCAGTTGGACTTCACTGCAAATAGACTCCTCCCTCGTGGATCACGTTCTTGTGATAATTAAATACTATCAGTGGTTTCCAAATATATTCATTGTAACAAACTGGATATTTTTATAGCAAATAAATAGAAAACCCCTTGCTATTTTAAATAGCAAAATTCCTCCTGAGCTGCCGCTTGGTAAGTTATATGTTTAGTTTCATTTAATCGATAAAATGCATGATGACAAAAAATATTCTTTCAGTACACTTTTAATGAAAATTTGTATTTCCATGAAGATGGGGATTTTTGTTTGTTTTGTACACTGAAGTATCCCAGAACCTAGAACAATGTCTGGCACAAATAATGCATTGTTGAATTGAATTGATATATATATGAGAAATGGTAGTATACAGATTATTTTTTGGATCCACAGACAATCTTTGATGGACTTAAGATATTTCAATCTCTTGTAATAACTCTACTGTAATAATGCAGGCCTCCATAACAACTGTTTCAGTACTGACTGAGTGGTTAAGTTAAATATTAAAAGCCAGTGCCCTTATACAAAGGCTGGGATGTAACAAAAGCCCACCAAAGGTTTTGCCTAGGCCTTTCCTGGGCCTTAAAGCAGAACAAAATAACGAAAGAATTCTTAACAGGACCCATTTAGGATTAAATAAGTTTTATTGGGGGTCCGAAGAAACTCCTCAGGCCTCCACAAACAAGTTTATTGGAGGTCTGAAGAACGCCCCAAAACTCTGCAGCTTAGCAGGAGGCAAGATAAGGGTAATCACCCCAGCACCTAAACCCATGTAGATTAAGTAAATTTACTGAGACTCCAGAAGAAGGTCTTCAGGACTCAGACCTTAGTTATCGATTAAAAGCATACATACGCAGATTGAATTTTAGAATCACACAGGTCTGGATTCAAATTCCAACTCTGCTGCTGGCTATGTCACCTCTGGGTTTCAGATTTCATTATGGAGATGGGGATGAAACTCCCTATTTCATAAGGGTGTTGGCTGGGCGCAGTGACTCATGCTTGTAATCCCAGCACCTTGGGAGGCCAAGGCAGGCAGATCACCTGAGGTCAGAGGAGACCATCCTGGCCAACATGGTAAAACCCCATCTTTACTAAAAATACAAAAATTAGCCAGGCGTAGTGGCACACACCTGTAATCCCAGCTACTCAGGAGGCTGAGGCAGGAGAATCACTTAAACCTGGGAGGTAGAGTCAGCCAAGATCATGCCATTGCACTCCAGCCTAGGCAACAAGAATGAAACTGTCTCAAAAAAAAAAAAAGAGTGTTGTGAACATTTAATACATTTAGTATAGGCTGGGCGCGGTGGCTCACGCCTGTAATCCCAGCACTTTGGGAGGCTGAGGCAAGTGGATCACAAGGTCAAGAGATAAAGACCATCCTGGTCAACATGGTGAAACCCTGTCTCTACCAAAAACACAAAAAATTAGCTGGGCATAGTGGCGCATGCCTGTAATCTCAGCTACTCAGGAGGCTGAGGCAGGAGAATTGCCTGAACCCAGGAAGCGGAGGTTGCAGTGAGCCGAGATCGCTCCATTGCACTCCAGCCTGGGTAACAAGAGCGAAACTCTGTCTCAAAAAAATAAAATAAATAAAATAATAATAATAATAATACATTTAGTATATAAAGTATTGCCACTTTGTACCAAATATATTGTAGTTATTATCATTAAAGATAAGAACTGTCTTTTTTACATGGCAGGATGATGTTTTGAAGGTTTTAACTAAAGTGGGTTACCAAATTAGAATAGGGTATTTCTGTTTGTCTCAAAACTTTATCTAAAGCCCTAAGGCTGAAGACAGCAAGCCTTACCTCCACATCCATAAAGAGGGCTGTCTAGGAGCTACTTCTCTCTGAGGTTTGATAGGAGGTGGCCAAACTTGTCTTGGAAATCTCACCCCTACATCCCAGCCTGCTTAGATAAGCAAAAGACTAGAATTCATTGTATAGGTGTGTGAAGGGAAAATAAATCTCAGGACCCCAAAGTCACCAAGCTAAGAGAAACGTCCAGCTGGGAACTGCATCAGGCAAACCTACCTCCCATTTTATTCCTAAGTAATATACCTACAAAATAATAAGCTACGTACCTCCCTCACAGTTTGCCTGCAGGAAATGTCTTGTGGACAAAGCACAGCCAGAACTAGAGTCATCCCTCTGAGGCACACCTGAGACAGATGCATATCTGATTGTTTCCTCTGCCCTATTATTTCCTTAAAAATGCAGATTTACTAAGCTAGACTAAATTTTGTGTTTCGGTGAAAGGCTGATCAAGGATTCAGAAGAATGCAACCTTTTGTCTCTTACCTACTTCTAACCGGGAAGTCCCTGCCTTACTGGACGGACCAATGTACATCTTACAAATATTGATTGATGTGTCATGCCTTCCTAAAATGTATAAAAGCAACTGTATCCCAACCACCTTGGGCACATGTCATTCGGACTTCCTGAGGCTGTGTCATGGGTATGTCATTAACCTTGGCAAAATAAATTTACTAAATTGACTGAGACCTGTCTCAGATGTTTTGGGTTAACAAGGGGTTTGATGCTTCTGAGTCTAGAGTTGTCAGTTTAATGTTCCCTTTTCCTTCCACTCCCAGCCAAGTTTGTGGGTGAGGGATCCTTACCAAAATATTGCTGGTATTAAATCTCAGGATAAAACCCTACAGAACTGCAGAAATTCATGAGCCCACCTTAGTTATGTGAAGAGTCAAAAGTTCCTCTTCAAAGTTTCCCTTTTTGTTAAAGAATAAATAATGTGTTAGAAATAACAGTTTCTTTTAAAAACGTTTCCTTCGGGCATCCTAGTTTTTGTTAATAGCTCTTTGTTAAGCCCTATGTAGTTGTTAAGTATAGTAAGGGAATAAGTACATTCTGTGTCCTACTTTAACCATGTCATTTGTTCTAGCCTATAGCCTGCTCAGACATGTTCAAACATGCCCAGGCATTTCTCATCTTATAGCTTACACCTCTTCCTTATTTGGAAATGTTATTATTTTCCTAGTTTTTCATAAACAACCCCCTTCCTTTCTTTGTTCTCCATCACACATTTTTCTCTTTAGGAAAGTTGTAAGTTTTTACCCAGTTGAGATCAGTATAGATTGTGCAGTCCAGCTTCAGCCAATAGAGATAGGACACAGCAGTAAGGACCCAGTGTGTTCAGGATAAAAATCTCTGCTTTTCTTTGTTCATGGTGCTCTCGTGACAATCCGGCTTCTGAGAAGCACCCTTTCAGCAGAAAGTAAAATTGCCTTGCTGAAAAAATTATTTGTCTGAGCCCTAGTTCTTCTTTTCAGCTCCAAGGAACAAGCATTTGCTTCTAACAATTAGCTAGAGTAGGTCTTGGTCAGAGAATGCTTGAGAAAACTTGAATTTGGAAGGCAGACCTAACTGTTAAGGCTTATGTCTGCCTCCTTCCTAGAGAATTGTAAAGGCAGGAGGCTAGCTGGAGCAGCCCTCATCAGCAGGCAGGGCAGTATTGGTGTATCAAGATATGTTAATAATCCTGTGAGTAAAATGTGTGCCAAGAAAGAAAGTTGAGCTTCCCCCTAGAGACATGCCATCCTCTGAGGCAAGGAACCCTAGCATAAAAGACTATAGAAAACTCCCAGAGGGAGGAGGAAGGCAGGGAGAGTTATAAGAAGGCCAGCCTAAAAGCACCTAACTCATGTCAGCATACTGTGCAGGGGAGTGGGAGAGGAGTTTCTGAAAAATCCATGAGGTTCTCACAAAGAGCCAGCATTCCAAAGAGAGAATGGACCATTAGGAGAGAACCACAAATAACACCATCTAAGAGATTTTATCCAAACCAAAGCCCACTGCTGCAGCAATGTACAGCAAGGGCGTGAAGAGCGGAGGAGTAAAAGAGAAGGGGAGGAAACAGACCTCAACCGCTTCCTTCCCAGCTGCAGGTTGTGGAGCCAGAGTATGTCAGACCTGGGAGGGAGGGAGGAGTTTTAAATTAGGTATAAGGTTGAAGTTTTTAATTGGATTGGATGGAACCTTTAGTTGTTGGCTTTTGAAATTAGTAATTTATTACCATGGATCAACATTCAAATGGTACAATGACTATTAAAATATGAGCATTGAGAAATCTTCCTCCACTGTCTCCCCACCACCCATTTCTCCCCAGGGGGAAGCCAATATGATCCAGTTTCTTGTGCA